ATGTGTTGATCTTTTGGGGTCATTTTATGCTGCAAAGCATATGCTTTCATCCACTAACAGTGGCGCACGGATGGTCTTTGTTTAAGGTGTTTATGTGAATACCAAAAAATTTGAAAATGAAATGCAAAAATACTTGTATAAAATTGATATAATAATTTATATGTTGTATTTTTTATGTAATTAATATATTTACGTTTAACCATTTTGTTTGTTTTTTTTTTTGCTGAAAAAATTAAATCTCTTCAATTATTGGATCAAATAATATTACTTTACAACATCTTAATAGTAAAGTAATTTTGAACACCCTGCCAAGATTCACCACTATCAGCAAAGAATGCTATTTGCATCTCTGTTGATGTACGTACGTGAATGTATATTGCTAATTTGCTATATATGCTTGATGCTTCACCGTTGCATATATCTGCTTCTTTTAATTTTCATGGGGGAAGTGTACGTATACTCGAAAGAGGTTCAATCGGAGGGGAAAGGGGGAAGAGGAGTTGTTTTTTACTAATCCGTACAATATATACTATCTATATTTATGATTTAAAATGGTTACACTTATGGAGTGGGATATATTTTTCTCTTTCGATTTGTGAAGTTAAGATTTTTAGTCAGATAGGTTCATTTATTACTTAATTAGGATATGAATTTCTAATTTAATTATATTCTAATTTAATTTAGATTTTGTAACTTTATAAAAAACTTAATGTATTTTTTGGATTAGTAAGTTTAATTAATTATTAAAATGAATTAAATATCAAAAGTGCTGATTTAACTTTACCATTGTTTTATATAAAAGAAAAACTTTACTATTGTTTGAACAATTTATTTGGGTGGAGACTCTTCCGGTGAGTTTTCGTCGCACGTTTCTCTCTAGCAGCTTAACGCCACATGGGGTTTTGTCAAGGCCTTCTTTAAGAAGGTGCAATAGGTGCTTCTCATCGGGGTCCACGTTGATAGGGTTTTTGTCAAGTTTTGTATTATTTCAAATTCTAAAACAAAACATGTATAACTTTTAGTTTTTGTAAATTGAAAATAGGAACATTGTTTTTACATAACCATACATTTTTTTTGTACAATTAATTAGTTTAACTAGAGCAGTACTTTCCAAACTAGGGTTGTGCTCGAGTAGGACTTGTTTTACTCCCAAAACATTATATAAAACTTATATTTCTTTGACTTTTTTACTTCATTGTTAAATTTGTTATATTTTATTGTTTTAGGGGGCCTCAATTTGCTATTTCGAACCGCGGCCTCCAAATTTTTTAGACGGCCTTGAGTTTTGTCTCCCTAGCTGCTTTATCGTCGCGTATGATTTTTCTTTCGCCGATTTTTTGTGCGGTTCTTCTCTAGTCTTCTAGAGTGCTTTTTAAGGTGGTGTGAATGCGGTTCCAACGTTTGGAAACCAATCCAAGGTTCAAGCAACGATAATCATGTCTTTTGTGGATGATCTAGAGCAGTGTTGTCTCATTCCTGCAATTGAGTAGAAGGGTTAATTTTTTGGCAAACCAACATGGGTAGAGGGCAGTGGTGGATGTAGAGGCGGAACGGGCCGGGCAACGAGAAGATAGGGAGAGAGGTGAAAGGGTGAGTAAGGAAAGCATGTAGGGGTGGGCACGGTCCGGTCCGGTCCAATATTTGGCCGAACCCGTACCCGTACCGTTACTATTGAAACGGTTCGGTACGGTTTGGTCTTAGACCCAAACCTGTTCGGTACGGTCCATTTTCAAACGGGATGGTACCATGCCATACCAATACCAAACAATGTCACTTTTTCCAGGTGTTTAAGAAAAAATTAAAGTTTAGCCATCCTCCAAAAATCCACACAATTTATCAATTTTCATATATCATACTACCTTTGTTCCAAATTGATTTGCAAAGTCAATCTTTTCTTGGTCAAACAATTTCTTTTTATTCACTTAATTAGAATTTCACTTTTTAATTATATTCTAATTTGGCCTTTAAAAAAAACTACTTCGTACTCCGTATATTTTAATTTGGAATTTGCAACTTTAGAGAGATTTTAATGTGGTTTCTAAATATGTAAATTTTAATTATTAAAAATTGTATTAATTATCAAGAACTTAACATTAACTTTGACAAAAAAAAATGTTGGCTTTGCAAATCAATTTGGGATGGATGAGGTAATTAAGATATTTTAGATAAACTATAGTAATACAAATTTAATAAACCATACTTCGGTCCGGTTCGGTCCGGTACCGGTTCTCATTTTACTAGTATTGTACCCGTGCGATGCACGACATATTAATATACGAAATATATATATTTGTTTACATTTGAAATTTAAATATGGTAATAATAAGACAAAAATTTACTCTAGATACCTACCAAGATTTGAGGCTATAATTATTTTTTTCTATGTATTACAAAGGTTTGGTAACTTGGCGTACTATAACATACTCCCTCCGTCCCACTAAGAACTTCCTACTTTGACCTACACACATATTTAAGAAATAAATTTGAATTTACTGTAGAGTACACTGTTTCAACACTGTTTAACATTGTTTTGCACTGTTCGACATTGTTTTGATGTAGGATAACTTTTCATTTAGGAAAATGAGAAGATCATTTTGGGACGGCTAAAAAAGGAAAGCAGAAAGATCTTAGTGGACAGAGGGAGTATATAGTTGTTTGTGACAAAAAATGCGATATTTCTATATTATCGTTGTCTCATGCTAAAATCTATATGACATTCTAACATATAGAGTGACTATGACTAAAATTATTATTCTCTCCGTCCCGCTTAGATTGTTTCATTTTTCCTTTCCGCGAAATCTCATTAAGATTATCTCATTCCAAATTTGGTAAACTTTTTATGGCTCGAAATCAGTTTTACTTTATTATTACTTTACCAATTAAATATCAATGACATAAACACTTTTCTTGTTGTCACTATTCTTGTCCTAATGTTAATGCGATGGAGGTGACTATGATTAAAGTTACTACTATATGTTTTTGCAACGGATTAAAGTTATTACTATATAAAAGTTACTAAACTTGAAGTCACGTTAAAAAACAAAACTATTTGTAATCATAAATATGCAATTACTTATACTTATTTCATACACTAATTTCTTATAAATTCTTCAATTAGATGAATATTACTCCAAAACGTACACATTATAAGATTTATGAACATCATTAGTTATTAACTTATTACTCAGCATTCATCGACAACCTTACATACTACATATATAGTTATATACGTAAGTGCTATTCCTGTCTGTCTGGCAGGGCCGGAGAGGAGGGTTGACCGGCCACTTTGTTTTGGAGCGGTTTCTGGTGGGTTTTTATACTTAAATTTTTTGAGCATTTTCCTCATGAAGTGTAAATTATCTTCACCAAATTTGAACAAAAAATTTAATCAATAAGACAGTTAAATGATTTTTAAAAAATAACTGTGCCAAAATGTACATACAAAAAAAACAATTGATCAAAAATGCCACCGCAAACAACCCCAAATTGAGGTGACCGGACCACCCTCTTGTCCGGCCTGACCGGAAAGGATTAATTCTCATACATACCCATAAGTATTACATATTGGGCTTGAATGCTTGATGAGATCATACTCCGTATGTTTTAATAGGATGAAGGCCATCCACTACCTTAATTATTATATGATGCTTCAATTATCAGATATGAGATATACGCCCCAATTGTTAATTGCTTCCATCATAGATTTAATTTTTGGATACTTAGAAGTAATAACATACACCGAATACGTTTTTATAATTTTTAAATGATATAACTACGTACGTCTAATGGTGTGGTGCATATCATGTAGACGTAATTAAATTAAATATCATATGAATTTCCTACATTAGAAAAGAATAATTTAATATTGACAGAATTGATTACCTTGCTCTCCTATATTCCAAGATGGGTAAAGAACTACTCCGTACAAATTAATTGAGGAATCACGCATAGATGAGTATTTAATTGAGCAATCACGTGTAAAGAACTACTTGCCGGCCAAACAGTTGTTTTCTAGATGTGTATATGTAATTTATAGATGATCAATGTGGCACACTGGCACCGGTTAGAAATCGATACTTCGTTTCATGCACATAACCGTTTGATAATTAATTGTGGCGGAGGTTTTTTAAAATGTACCCGGAAAGTATGTTTGGTTTCCCTTTTTATATTAGTATAGATGAGAACCGGTCATGGCATTGTTTGGAACCGGTTCGGTCCGGTTCGGGACAAAAAAATTTGAGATTCGTTTCAAACCCTGTTTATCGGTCTGGTACCATACCGGTCCGGTTCGGTATCATGCCGGTTTGGTATTTTTGCCCACCCCTAAAAGCATGTGTATTAATATTACTTCATTTCTCTAATACGGAGTATATGTTACATTTTACCTTTTCCATTATTCACCTGCTTTAGTCCCGTGTCCCGACCATATTTCATTTGTTGCGAATTAACGATTTTGACACCATTATTATTTTAAAAAATACGGGTACTACGGACTACGTATTGCTAAACTGCCTCGATGTATATTTTAAAGATGTGATTTTATTGGTTTTTACTAAAACTCAAAAAGATACTCGTACTACAATAATAGTAGTACATTGCAAACCTCAAAAGCCTAAGTACGTAAACGTATTGCAGGTTGCAACTAATAAAAGGGAGGTAATGTAATTTTATGGGCCGTTTGAAAAGTTATGATGATACCATACCTTTAAAAAATGCAAATAGTTTTGTACAATAGTACCTATATTAAAAAAATCGAGTTAAACCACCATATGTCATACTAGTATTCCGGTATTGTATATGAAAATAATTCTTCCCTTTAGATATACGCATATACCATTAGATATCTATAAATTATGTAATAATTAAAATTCATAAGATATCTTTAAATTGTGTAATAATTAAAATTCATATGATTGAAGTTACTTTCAGGTTGAATTTGTTGTACGTAGTTTTAGTACATCATCATTTTTCTATAGTTCAAGAAATCTAACCGTTCCAATGAAGATATCGTCCATTAATATGAATTGAATGCTACCAAATTGATTGATACTTGGTAATTGTTTGAATTAGTTGGTATTAACCCGCGTGTAGTTCACTTGATTGAATGGTGAGAAAGTTGGAAGAATGTTTAAGGATCGAAACTTGTAGCAATCTTGTATATCAGAGGTTACGGTCCTCCATGCATGTTGGGTTGGATCTCTCGTGCGCACGGTATAAATCTACCATTATTGAGGTGACAGAGTCATCGTGACTTACAATCTCTCAAAAATCTTGTAGGACGTGCGGGGCCATTGGTTTGGGGTTTCAATAGAATTGAATTGGTTGGTATCGAAGGTGTATGTACTCCCTCCGTCCCCAATTAAATGTCCCATTTTACCATATTGGGATGTCCCTATTTAAATGTCTCATACCTCATTTGGTAAAGTTTGTGTGGCTCAAAATCATTCTTACTTTATTCCTACTTTATCAATTAATATCAACCACACAAAGCTACTTTTCTTAAAACTCGTATCACCCTCTTCCGGAACTTTTAAAAGGGGACGGAGGGAGTATGTGTGTATGTATATAAAGTGAGGCCAATGATTGTAGAACGTGATATGTACTCTGTATATGTTAAAGCATGCATTGTTCTGATGCAGCTACTGGAGGGCCGGTCTGGAGTAGGACGTGCGTGGGATAGAGGATCCTCTTTTTCAACAGAGCTGATCGAGGCATGCTCCACCTTTAACTTTCCTCCATCATCACCCCCCACCCCTACCCCCACATCATTTGTTTGTAATTCTTGTATCCGTATTGCTTTACGGGTGGGGTAACTAATAGTGTAATTAATACCATTAATTAGGTTTCCATATTTATTAGGTTTCCTAATGTATTCAGGACATATTTTATTATATATATGACACCTAGGGCTACCACATTGGTAAGCCTTCCCATTATTCTCACATGGTATCAAGAGCTCTAGGGTTTTAGACAGTCTAAATTTTTTTTTTGTTCCATGGAGTTAAAGCAGATGTTATCTCACACCAAGAAAAAGGAGAATCAGTCCATGGAAGAATATGTCCGTGGCATTCAAACTATTGCTGACAGCCTGACAATTTAGCCTCCATCAATTCTCCGGTTTCCAATGCTGATCTTATTCAATATACTCTTTTAGGCTTAGGGCCGGGTTATGAATCACTAGTGGGTCCCCTTACCTTGTTTCCTGAAGGTCTCACTTTCGACAAATTAGGCACGAAGCTGGTTCATCAAGAGGCACGCTTACGCTACCAACAGTCCTTGGAACCGTCACTCTCAGCCCCGGCGTTCGCTGCACTTCCACCCGGCGATCATCAATCCCAGCATTCTGGCCGAGGTCGTGCAGCATCCTCCAACGACAATCCGCAACAGCAGCCCGACCAAGGCGGACGTGGTGGCCGGAGAGGACGCGGCAGAGGGCGTGGCCGTGGCCGCTATCAGCCGCAGCAGCAGTACGGGCAGCCCCAACCGTACTTCGGTCCCGGACAGCAACACTATCCGCCGGCAGCACATCCTAGAGGGACAAATCAACCACAAAATTGGGGACCTGGTACAGTTTTTTGTAATACAGTTGAGTCATCGTTTAATACTCCTGCTCTCTCTACTTTTTGTACTAACTATGCCTCTGCAAGATCTTCCTCTTTTGAGAATAGTTTTGGTTCAGTCCCTCCACCCGTTGTTTGTCAAATCTGTCACTCCCCAGGTCATTCAGCTGTAGCTTGTCCGTCTCGTTTTGTTCAAACTCAGGCTCCAGTCTTAGCGATATCTACTGGTGAAGCCACGCCAGCCGTTTGGTATCCCGATTCCGGTGCTTCCGCTCACATGACTCCAAATGAAGGTATTTTGAATAATAAATCTATTTATTCTGGACCACTAAAAATTACGGTTGCTAATGGATCTAATCTTCCTGTTATGACTACTGGTAATTTGTATCTAGCTACTAAGCCTAGGCCTCTCCATTTAAAATCGGTTTTTCACGTGCCTAACCTTAAATATAATCTTCTCTCCATCCAACGATTGTGTGCCGATAATAATTGTTTTGTGATTTTTGATAAAAATTCTATCTGTGTTAAGGACACAATTTCGGGGAAGATGCTCCTCCAAGCTTCTAGTAATGGCGGTGTTTATCCTATCCCTATCACTCATTCCTCCCCAGTTGCTCTCAGTTCACAAGCTGCTCCCGGACCAATTTGGCATCGTCGTTTGGGCCATTGTGGAAGTCGTATCTTAGATAGATTAAAAAAATCTGGCAGTGTTCTTAGTACTTCTAATTTTTCTCATGATTGTATTTCTTGTCGGTTAGGAAAATCACAACGATTACCTTTTCAAGAAGTATGGCATAAATCTACTGCTCCTTTGTTTTTAATTCATTCTGATGTTTGGCAGTCTCCTGTTCTGTCTTCAAGTGGCTTTAAATATTATGTTTTATTTATTGATGATTTTTCCCGGTTTACGTGGCTTTATCCCATGCGTCATAAAAGTGAAGTAGTGAGACACTTTCAAAACTTTAAATCCATGGTGGAAAATTTACTTGATGCTAGAATTAAAATTTTTCAAAGTGATGGAGGGGGTGAATTTGACAATCATGCTATGCGTGATATTTTTACCAAAAATGGTATTTTATTTCGCAAATCATGTCCTGACACTCCTGAACAAAATGGCGTAGCTGAGCGCAAACACAAACATTTACTTGAATTAACTCGCACTATGCTTCTTGATGCAAAATTGCCTGCTCATTTTTGGGTAGATGCTGTGTTTACCGCCACATTTATTATTAATCGTCTTCCTACTCCAAATTTAAATGGCATCTCTCCTTTTGAAAAATTATTCCACCAATCTCCTGACTTCTCTTTTATGCGTGTGTTTGGTTGTGCCTGTTTTCCAAATTTTAATGCCACTTCTGCCAATAAATTGTCTCCTAAATCCACCTTATGTGTTTTTCTTGGTTATGCCCATGAATATAAAGGTTATCGTTGCTTTAATCCTATTACTGACAAGATCTATATAAATCGGAATGTGCGATTTTTTGAAAATTATTTTCCTTATTCTGATTTAATTTCTAAACATCAAAGGAACACTTCCACAATGCCCGTCGGCAGTACGGTGAGTTTACATGATTATCACTACTCTCATACCTTTCTGCCATCGCAAATGCAACCCACTTTCCCGCCCCAGCCCCTTTCCGATCACCAGCCGAACATCCCGATGCCCCAGCTCACTGCTGCCCGCGGCAACACACCCGAACCCCACCAACAAACTGCCACCAGCCCTACTGCCCGGGGCGGCACACCAGACCACCACCAGCAGACCCCCATTCCCACTGCCGAACCCATAGACTCCCAGCGGCAGACCCCATTAGACCACATCCTCAGCCCCGTCTCTTCCAGCCCGAGCCCGAGCCCATCCCCACCTGCATCTTCTCCTCCAAATTGTCATCCTATGCAAACTCGTGCTAAGGCCGGAATTTTTAAACCAAAAAATATTTTTACTCTCAAAACAGATATTTCGGCATGTGATCCTTCATGTTTTTCAATGGCAAATAAAGATGCTAAATGGAGAGCTGCTATGGCTGAAGAGTTTAATGCACTTATTGATAATCATACATGGGATTTAGTTCCGTTTAATACAAGTAAAAATGTGGTTGGGTCTAAATGGATTTATAAAACAAAATTTAATACTGATGGATCTGTTGAGCGCTATAAGGCACGTCTGGTTGCACAGGGATTTACTCAGCAAGCTGGTGTGGATTTTTCTGAGACTTTTAGTCCTGTTGTTAAACCCACTACTGTTCGTATTGTTTTATCTCTTGCTGTCTCGTCTAAGTGGTCCATTCGTCAGTTAGATGTCAAAAATGCTTTTCTTCATGGCAATCTAACTGAAGAAGTTATATGCGTCAGCCTCCTGGCTTTATTCATCCTCAGTTTCCTAATCATGTTTGCAGGCTCAGGAAGGCTATCTATGGTCTTAAACAGGCTCCTAGAGCTTGGTTTTACCGGTTCAGTAGTTTCTTATTAACCCATGGTTTTGTGTGTAGTAAGTCTGATAATTCTCTATTTATTTACCGCCATGGGTCTCACATTCTTTATCTTCTTTTGTATGTGGATGACATCATTATCACTGGTAATTCCCCTTCCTTTATTTCCACTTTTATCTCGTGTCTTGGCCGCTGTTTTGCCATGAAGGATTTGGGAGATTTACATTTTTTCCTAGGTGTCCAGGCAGTTCGAACACACTCTGGTTTGTTTTTGTCTCAACAAAAATATGTGTCTGATCTATTAAACCGGTTTCATCTCCACACTCTTAAACCGGTTCGTACTCCGCTGCCTACTCGAACTAAGCTGTCTCTCACTGATGGGGATCTTCTTGCAGATCCTACTGAGTACAGAAGTATGGTAGGTGCTCTGCAGTATTTGACTATGACTCGACCTGATATTACATTTGTTGTTCACCTGGTCTCTCAGTTTATGCATGCACCCCGTACTACTCATTTATTGGCTGTTAAGCGTATTTTCAGGTATCTACAGGGGTCGGCTGCTCACGGCCTGCTTCTCCAGCCCAGCACTACTTCTCCTACTTTGCAGGCTTATTCAGATGCTGACTGGGCCGGATGTCCTGACAGTAGCCGTTCTACCTCTGGTTTTGCTGTATTCTTGGGTCCAAATTTGGTCTCATGGAAGTCCAAGAAGCAGCCCACTGTCTCCCGGTCTTCTACAGAGGCTGAATATAGAGCTATTGCTTACACCGTTCAGGATACACTACATATTCGCTCAATTCTATTCGAATTAGGCGTCTCGATTCAGGATCCGGTACAGCTATTGTGTGACAATGTTTCTGCCTCCTACTTGTCCACTAATCCCATTCAGCATGCCCGGAGCAAGCACATCAGCATTGATTATCACTTTGTTCGAGAGAGAGTTTCTCATGGAGATCTGGTGGTTCGCTATGTTCCTACTCAGTTTCAGCTGGCAGATATTTTTACTAAATGTCTGTCACCACAGCGTTTTATTTTTCTTAGGGACAATCTGCGCATTGTTTCCCCTGCACAGCTTGAGGGGGTGTAATAGTGTAATTAATACCATTAATTAGGTTTCCATATTTATTAGGTTTCCTAATGTATTCAGGACATATTTTATTATATATATGACACCTAGGGCTACCACATTGGTAAGCCTTCCCATTATTCTCACAGTAACTAACTGGTAGATGAGCGGTGTCACAAAAGGTAAGTTTCGAGTTTGAATTCCGACAACTGTGATGAGCAATTACTATGGTAAAAAATGTATAGGGTCTCTGCAAGTACGTACTAACGTCAGAACCTTACTCTTTATCTGTCAGCTTGTGATTAAAGTCCAATTTACATCCCTCCATCTAACTGTCCGGTCGGTGTTGGGGGCCCTTAGGGATGGGGTGTCATCCTTGTTTTTTGTATTGCTTTACCGACATTTTTGTACACATCCTACCTAAGCTAGCTACGACGACACTTCCTAATTATAATTAATTATATTGGTTTTATGTTAATCATTTAATCACATTTTGGTTTCTTAGTTGTGGTGATCATCATATACTCCGTATTACCCTCTCTTTTGTATTGAACTTTGTAACTTATCATCCATTAAAGTAGCTAATTACGATTCTCTTCGTTTCTATTTCTCCCCGAATTGACTGAGGTAATATATACTCTCCGTCTCATTTACTTGTCTTATACTTTTTGAATTGTCTTAAAATGAATGTCACATTTTCTTATCTGGAAACAATTTTTTAGGATATAACATTTCACTTTATTTTTACTCAAATTTCAACTATAATTTTTACTTTTAACCATTTTATTAACAATTTGTCAAGTCAAATTAGGATATATAAAATGGGAAGAAGGTAATATGTAGTACTCTTCGTGTCCCTGATTAAACTTCCAATTTTCTTTTATGGACGTTCTAAATTAAATTTTAACTTTCCTTTTATAGTAAAAAACTTATGGTTCACAATAATTATTAGACATTTTTTTTCTTTTTGCACAACTCTCAACAACATAATATGATACATAGTACTCCGTAGTATCTATTATCTTAATCTCCTTTTCAAATATATATACTTTGAAAGTTAGAGTCCGTTTGGCAACCCAATTTTTTGACTTATCAGGCTTATCAGCCAGCTTTTTCACCAAACACATAACTTTTGCTTTCACGCGCTGAATTGTGTAATAAGCAGAAAAAGTAAGGTTGGAGTTACTTTTCTGGCTGTATTGGCTGAAGTTACTGTAGATGATTATTTTAGCTATTTTTACATATAATTTTTTCTTTATGTTATTAATAAAATATATTTTAAAAATATTTTTTTATTAAATCAGCAGAATCAGCCAATGCAGCCACTTCAGCTAGAAGTTCATACATTTCAGCAGAATCAGCTAAAACAGTCAATTTTTGTGCTATAAAACGGGCTCTTAATTTAAGCAGGAATGAATTATATTAGACTCACATTTTTTTGTAGCACTAGGCTGTTGTGCATTTCGTTTAGCCAGTGTAGACCCTCCAAAGTCCAAACATAGCTGCTGCCTGCTAGGCGGCTGGTATACATCATGATTACTGATCTCTGCACCGTCAAAGTTAACAATTCTACTATATATGGAGTATATAATCCTTCTCCATCGACCGTCTCCTTCTTGAATTGACCAAATAACAAAGCCAATCATGAACATATATATACTCCCTCCGTCCCGAAAACAATTTCTCGGTTTGACTTTCACACACTTTTAGAAAATAAATTTGACTTTACTGTATAGTGCACTGTTTTTCACTGTTTAAACACTGTTTGACACTGTTCAAACACTGTTTATCACTTTTTTTATGTAGATAATTTGCCAAATAAGGAAAGTATTGAAGTGTGAAGTTAATTTTGGGACATCCATTTAAGGAAAGTGGGAAGTTGTTTTTGGGACGGAGGGAGTATATAGGTTTTGGTTCAAATAAGAACACGATCTTATGAGAAAAATGAGAACGAATCTGGACCGTTAGATTTGCTTCAAGTGAAATTCAATGTGCATTAGATGAAATTGAAATGTGCATCACAAAGGGTATGATAGAGTGACAATATGTGCAGTTGAATTGTGCATTACGTGAAATTGAAATGTGCACTAGGTGAAACTGAAATGTGCAGAATAAAAAGTACGATGTGATGTTATTTTTGTACTTTTTTCCTGCACATATCAGTTTCATTTAATGCACACTTGAGTGTAAATTTTTATTTTGCACATTTCAATATCATTTAATGCACATTTCAGTTTCACCAAATGCACAATTTGGTTCCACATAATACAATCCAACGGTCCAGATTCGTTCTCATTTTTCTCATAAGATCTGTTCTTACCGGAACCGCTCCATATATATATATATATCTAAAATCTTATAAGAGTGAATAGAGGTAAGGGTATTATAGGCATGCAAAATGTGTTGGTGGTAAACTTTAGAATTATGTAATTGTACATCATTCTTTAAATATTGTACACGTTATTAATGTCGTCACTTTGCTATTATTCTTCCGTTAAATGTCATCCTTCCGTTTAATGTCAACTCTACCGGCCATTATATACCTTGCTGCTCACTCTAATTAATGTTTTCTCCAATACAACTATTTAGACGAAGGAAAAAATCAAACATACAATTTACAAACTCTGAGTCACAGGGTTAATCTCCCGTAGATATGGATAATTGTGATCGAGAATGTAGACAATTTACAAAAATTCATCACTCAGATTAATTCTCCCCACAGCCCGCTGGTTGCTGAGCACTGCCCCCATAGCTTCTTCCTTGGCGAAGTGAGATACTATTCATGCCAAGAGTTTCATTTTCAGCTTCCTCGCATAAGTGCAACAATCCATTCCAAGTGTAAAAACTATATTTCTCGTCTACCTCATAGGATAGGAATTTTGCTCAGAGTACATGTTAATAATGGTTGACTAAATAAGAAATCGTTTTTTGAGGCTGAACTCTTTAGTTGTAGCGTATAAATAATGCGGAGTAATGAAAATGGCCAAAATATTCTCATAGAGGAAAACTATTAATGGTTTCTTAAATAAGAAAGGTTTATGGTCATGTAAATAATCGTTTGCTAATTGATAAAAACATTTAATCAAAGCAAAGCACTGTAGGTTGAGATGGTTGTAGGGGATTACAAATAGATCTCAGGATAGGGATTGAAATAAATGGTAATCATATCATCTTTGATGAGGTTTAAAATTAAACCTCTTGTTCAATCTACCCGCACAACGCGCGATAGAAAATATAGACTTCTTTTGCCCCTTGCTCTCAAATAATGTCGCACACTATTGCCAAGAACTCTTCTTCCCAAATGGATATTCTGAATTCTTCTGTCATAGTCAACGCGTGCATGTCATTTCTTTCTTCACTTTTATTTGAACCACATGTCCCTACTTAATACTTAATAAGTCCCTATTTTCACTTGAACAATAAAAATACTTATATTGCATATTAATGAATTTTATACGAAGTATTTCTCTTGATCTTCATTTGCTATACCTTTCATTTCATATCTCGTGTACTATCGCGTGAAGCCCCCCGTACTATACTAGATATTCCTCATTGTACTAATGATACTTGATATTATAGAATTAGAAAATCAGACTCTAACCCATATGCGGGTTTGCATTTCTTTTATTTTGTTTTTAGATCCTCTTTCATATGAAGGAACATTAAATATTCTAATACTAAAGGTAATCACATGATATCAACATACAATATACATATTTCTCAATAAAAAGTACGTTGGGCATTTTAATTTATGCAATCGCGCAACGCGCGTATTAAAAACTAGTATATATATATATATATATATATATATATATATATATATATATATATATATATATATATATATATATACCCGTCTCAGTACAGATTGCTAAGTTTTTTGGAGTTTCATGCAATAATAAAGTTTAAAATGTCAATTTGTGATGTGTTTAGAGAAAAGAAAAATAATTAGAAATACAGGTTAATTGGAAAAAGTTTTGTACTCCCTCCGTCCCGTAATTAAGTTCACAATTTGACTTCACACAGATTAAGAAAATAAATTTGACTTTATTGTGAAGTGCACTGTTTAAACACTGTTTGACACTGTTTGAACACTGTTTGACACTTTTTTATGTAGATTATTTGTCAAATAAGGAAAGTTTTGAAATGTGAATTTAATTTTGGAACTGCCGGAAAAGACAAGTGAGAAGTTAATTTTGGGATTGAGGAAGTATAAAGAAAGTTGACATAGCTAATGTGCTAGCAAGGGACAATAGCTAATGTGCTAGGACAATGGGAGTAAGTATTTCCAATTGCCGATGTTACGTTCCTTCAATCACATTTGAGTCTCTTGAGTTTTTAAAACATGAACAAAATTCAAAAGAAGGAAATTCCATGTTATATTATATTCATGATTCATTTAGTTCCTTCAATGACATTTACTACTTTAGTGATTACTATAGTTATTTTAGTAATTATAATTGTGTTCAATTCAATTGTATAGTGACTACATAATAACTATAGTACTCGTAGTACACAATATTTTTATACATGTGTTATATCTCATTAATATTTAAAAACAAACCGCATAAAATAATGGGTTGTCTATTCATAGAAATTACTCAAAGTAAATATGTCTAGAGTCTCATGAAATTCTTAAAAAAATGTGAAGAAAACATGAATTACTCCATAATACACGTATTAACAACACTAATTATTTAAAGTTCCCAAAAGTTCTCAATATATATTCCTTTCGTCTCTTAAAACTTTGCGAATTTTGACTGACCTTGCAATGAAAATAATAAAGGTGGTAGAAGTTGTATGGTACTACGTAAAGTTTACACAGAGGAGACAAAAGTAACATGAACTACAAATTACTTGATTAAAAAAATGACAAAGTTTTTGAAACAATACATATTCTCCACAAACTTAGCTTACACGCGTGTTTTCTCCGAAATGGATGTTAAACAACCATATTTTTATCTCAATTCAAAGTGGTAGCGGCCTAGCGCCTAGCTCAAGACATAAAACAGCAAATCTTTATAAATTGGTGGAATGTAATTCATTTTGTATCTTACTGGTTTTTAATTCAAAGAGGAATAAGGACAAAGATTTATCTTATTTTTAAATTAGAAACTTTCAAGTAAATCTTTGTCCTTCCTCTTTGAATTAAAAACGAGGTAATTCCCTAAATGGGACTAAATTAATGTTGAAGTGCACAAATAGGACTCTAATAAATTATAGGACCAAAAATGAATTGATGAGACAAAATTGCCCTAAAATTACAGATAAATAAAACCCTTCCCACGCTGCCTCATTCAACGCTGAACTCCAAACCGACCTCTAGCCCAGCTGCCCATTCCAGATGCGAACTCCAAGCGAGACACCTTCACTACTGTAGAGACCGCCGCTGCAGCCAAGTAAGACCGCCCCCAAAGTTGCCGCCGAGATTGCAGTTGCACATTTACCCATCCTGTTGCGAGCGAGAATGGTGCCAAACTGCCACAGCTAAATTCTCTTCCAAAGATAACCATCTTCTTAGTCTTGCTACCTCCTTTGAGTGTATGGCATCAATTTCAAAACAAAATGCAATTATGATAACGACAATGACAAAAAAATGGCATTTCTACCTGTAAAGATATGGATTTTTCAGATTACAGATTATGACATTTTCACATTTTAGAGTCCAAACATTGAAATAGAGGAACAAAAATGAAGCAGTAATATCGCCAATAAATACAATTCAATGCCATAAAAATACCAAAATTTGTGAAAATGTCAAAAAACTGGCATTTCAAATATGTAAATGTCCATCCCCATAAAAATGCCATAAATGTGGCATTTCTTACAAGTTCATAAAGATTTCTGATTCAAAGGTTTCCAATTCAAATTTTGAACAAGAGTCTCAAATTTTCATACCCAAATGTTTCCAATTCAAATTTTAGGGCAGATAATCGAAATAATATTCGAATAAATGCAAGAGGAGCAGAGAATAGAGGAAGAGGAGAAAGGAGGAGGAGAAGAGGGGAAGGAGGAGAAGAGGGGAAGGAGAAGAAAGAAGAAAAGGAGAAGAGGAGGTGCGATTACCTGTAGACATGTACCGGCTGGAGTATGGTGCGTAGAAGAACATCTCCTTCACTCCATGGGATCGCCGGATCGGAGATGAGTTTTGCGCATCGAGCGCATCGGCAAAAGAAGAGTCGATGATGGCAGATTTAGGGCCTTTATTAGAGCAGGGTTAAATTGGGAATTAGGAGTCCTATTTAGGAAAAATAAAACATTAACTCCTATTTAGGAACATTGATCATAATTAAGTCCTATTTAGGACTAATAACTCTTTAAAAATATACGGATCGGAGTAATATAGTCCGTATAATGTACTACCGGTTCTTTTTTAATTGTATAAGTTTGACTTTACCATTTGTCCTTGCTTTGACGATAAATATATTTAATTACGTATTAGTAAACATAATAAATAAATAATATATATGCAAAAAATATTTAGTATTTTGAAATTTCACATTAATATAGAGAAATTTAATACTAGTAATATTTTATACATAAGATATTACAACTACGAAGCATTAAAGAACAAAGAAAGTATTACAAATTACCCATGAACCCAAACTTGTTATTAGTGCAAGACTATATAGCAAGACTATATAGAATATACTACTTCCTCCGCCGAACAAATTACACAGACAATTGCAGTTTTTTAAATAAATTCTCTGTGTACCAAGACAATATGTACACATGTGTTTTATACATTTCGTGTAATAATATAATTTCTCTATATAATTTCATCACATAGGTAAATCCAAAAGTAAATGAAAAGTTTAAAATGGAATACATGGAGTGCCTTACCTCTTATATTACTCCCTCCGTCCTGTTTTGGTTGTCCTACTTTCCTTTTTGGGTTGTCCCAAAATGAATGTCTTGTTTCCTTTTTTGGCATGAAATATGTGGTTCTTATTAATTCACTTTATTCTACTCAAATCTCAACCACAACTTTTACTTTTCAACCACTTTATTAATAATCGTGCCAAATTAAAAGTGGACTACCATTATGGGACGGAGAGAGTAACGTATAGTAGCTATCAATGTCGCGCATGCTACACTTAGCTTGTGAGTTTTATGTCGTACATTGAATTGACCATTGGTTTGCTAGCCCTAGCCAATTAATCTACGAACCCTATGTCCCTATGTAACGTTTATTTAGTTAGTCGAATTAGGAAAATGCTAGGGGTACACAAATTGTACACAACTTGTACACACAATGTCGGTCACAAGACAATTGGTACGGAGTTGTCTGTGACCACAGACAAGAGTTGTCTGTGTTTGTCTGTTTCCACAGACATTTACTTTTTTTTTTGTAAAAAGTACTTGTCAGTGTCAGACGGCTCTCAGTGTACTTTTTATAAAAAAATAAATGTCTGTGGAAACAGACAAAATTTGGCTGTGTACACAGACAACTCTTGTCTGTGGTCACAGACAACTCCGTACCAATTGTCTGTGGTCACCGACATTGTATGTACAAGTTGAAAACAAGTTGTGTGTACCCTAGCATTTTCGGTCGAATTATGTTTGGAATTGGAAGTTGATTTTTCAGCTTTACTGTACTTTGTATGTGTTCAATTCAACGTATCTTTTGTGGGTACATGTGAGAATATAGTACTGAGCAGAAATGATCTCACCTGCGGTGATTATGGAATATTACGGAGCATATTGTCCTGCTTTTTTGCGTTACGTTGGATAACAAGGTTTTTTTAGCTCCATTGTTGGATAAGGCAAGATGATGAAGGAGCATATATATGGGTTCTCGAGAAAGTTATTCCCAATTCCGAAAATGTTTATGAGATAACGAGGTATTTGATAAGAATAGGTTCATAGTTTTACTTTGAGGATGGTGATGACTGAGGGTATTTGGATCTGATTGTAAAAACTGATTCTGCTCCTTCATAGAGCAGAAGTAGAAACTGGAGTGTTTTGGTGAAAGCGAAAAAGTGATTCTGGTGCTATAATTTACTCCTAGAATCAGTTTTTTTAGAAACTGGGGGAGACCACCTTATGAAAATTGATTCTGCTTCTGCTTTAAAAAAGAAGCAGAAGCAGAATCAGAATTAGTTCCAAACACCCCTGATAATCAGATTGGCTTCGATCTGACTACTTTAAAAAAAATCAAATTAGATTAGTACAAATTCTAGAATAGAAAAGACATAAAAAAATCAGATAATTTAGGTAATTACTTTGTATAAAATATACAAAGATCAACACTTATTACCATATTAGGAAATACTCTTCTCATTTGTAGCATGAATTATGAGTGAAGGTCTCAATTGGAAATGAAAAAAGAATAAAAAGATAAATGTCTTGTTTGGTACTCATCAACTGTTTGTATCCAAGGATTATGTTAATTATTTTGGACCTATATTTGATGTTTGGGTGTGCTTGATACAGTTGGTAGTTTGATAGGAAAAGTAAATAAATACGCGAGTGAAAAACAGCTATTGTGACGGGAGTATAAACAAATGATGTTTACTGATTTAAACATTATTAAAATTTGACTATACCAGACCGGTTCAAATTTAAGCATTTCACTCAAACCAAAAACAAATTTAAACATTTCACTCAAACTAAAAAGTCATTAATCTTATACATTATCTATATCCATACTCGATTCATTTCATAAATTCAGTTTGTGTAGTTTGTCAAAAGAATTGATAGAGAAATATGAGGAGAGATCTTGTAATAGTAAAAGTAATGATGATTACATACTTCATATAATTTTATTAAAATTCATCCAAGGGAAAATATAACTATCTCAATAGCCCTTACATTTTAACAGCTTATTGGCTAAATATAAAGTTATGGCTAAGGATGTTTTCTTTTGGCCTATAATTTGTTGATCTGGTCTGGTCTGATTTAGTATGGTAAATGTCTGGTCTTTGTATATTTTATGACTGTCCATGTCTGTTCTGATCTGGTCTAGTCTATTTAAGGTTGATCTGATTTGATTTGGTCTGGCTTGGGATTGAAAACAGAAGAAAAGAAAACAGTTGAATGGAATAAATATGAAAAACTAAATGCAACTGAAATTTTGGGTCGAAAAGCTTACTAAAGAAACTATGTTTGCCAAACTTGCATTTGAACTTATCTATCTACCATCGCTAGGGAAGAAACGTGTGACTAGGGTTTGAATGCTTCTTTTAGTTATTTTTGCTTGTTTCATTTGCTACTTTTTCGTTAAGCACATCCCGTTTAATTTCCGTTGAATCTCTAACATATTCAGCGATTAGTCTTGTTTATTGTTGGGTAGCCTATTCTATGTTATGACATAGAATGTTTGGCTCTAAGGAGTCTAAAGGGAAGGTCTGGGTGGTTGGAAGGCTGAATGTTTGGATGTTTGTTTCTATGAGTTTCATATAAGCCGTTGCTTTTCCGAGTTGCTTGTATCCACCTTTATATTTACCCTTATACTCACCCTTGTGAAAGTTTTTTTGTATGTGAATCTCGTTCAGAAACAAAACATGTCTTATTTTACCTGTGCTAATGTGCATAGACAAAATTAACGTATTTTGTCTGTGAACGAGATTCCCAAATTAAAAATAAGTCTTTCACAGACATGATGAGTATAAAAATGAGTATAAGGGTGAAAATATTATTTTTCTTTAGAAAGGAAAAGGGTAAAAAATGGCCAAATGTGCATCCCATGACTCTACAATCTGTCGTTAATAAGAGGTCAAGGCTTCACTCTGTTACTCTTCTCGTAATAAGAGATGTCTTTTTGCAATAAGAGATATCTATATGGAATTATGCCTTTGACCGTTCCGACACCCCACACATTGCTTTGAGCTAGGGTGTCTTTACGCCCATCCTTTTTAATGGGACCTAATCTTGCTATATTAGCTTCAGTTTAGCTTTTGTGTGTGTTTTGGTATAGAGGTTTGGTGCAAGGGAATCTGATGATACAGAGAAAGATCAAAACCAATGCATGGACCACTCATATCTTTATTTAATACGGAGTATGTCCATGCTTTGCTGGTTTAATTATTTATTGATTTGAGTGAAAATGCTATAAAACTGCCTATATGTCGTCCGCCCTCGTGTTACGATTAGGCAAAGATAAACGATAAATTAAGAGCAAGAACACAAGAATTAACGTGGTTCACGCAATCGGGGTGATTACGCTAGTCCACGGCGAACGAGAGAGAGGATGTATTATTATCAGCGTCCCCCCAAGAGGTTTACAAGTACATAAGAGTCGTTTAAATAGGTTTAGGAAAACCTAAACTGAGATTAGAGCCGCAGGCCCAAAATTAAGCCTGTTTTTAAAATTCCCGTCGCCTGACCCGGTCGGGTCTCTTATTTGACCCGGTCGGGTCTCCTTCACAGAACACAAACCCGGTGGAAACCAGGTCGGGTTTCCAAAACAGAAGGCTTCTGCCTTGCTGACCCGGTCGGGTCCCTTCCCTGACCCGGTCGGGTCTCACTTCCAGTGTTATCCCCCGGTCTCTGCTTCAACATACCCGGTCGGGTGGCCAACCATACCCGGTCGGGTATCTGCTCTGAACCTAAGAACAAGACTCCATCTTCAACAATCTCCCACTTGGAGGCTTGGTCAACAATCATCTGCCATCCAAGAACATGTATCTTCTGTAAAACCCCTGATTTCTCTCTCTCTCTCGTCCACGCCTTCTCATCAAGTATCTGGAAGGCCCGTTGAAGCCATGCATAGCTTCAACTTCTCCGTTGTCACCGCCTTGGTAAGCATGTCTGCTGGATTCTTCGTACCAAGGATCTTCTTCAAATTTATAGTACCATCTTCAATCAATTCTCGAATGAAATGATACCTCATCTTGATGTGTTTCGTTCTACTGTGAAACACCGGATTCTTCGCGAGATGAATAGCACTCTGGTTGTCACAGTACAGACCACAATCCCCCTGTTTCATGCCCAACTCCAAAAGAAAGTTCTTCAACCAAATCATCTCCTTGGCCGCTTCAGCAATAGCCATATACTCTGCTTCTGTGGTTGAAAGAGCTACACTCTTCTGTAATCTGGACATCCAACTGATTGCCGTACCTCCAATAGTGAATATGTAACCCGTAGTGCTCTTCCCGGAATCATGACAGCCCCCCAAATCAGCATCTGCAAAACCTTCTAGAATTGCCCCATTCCTCCTGAAACAAAGAGCAGTTCTAGAGGTGCCTTTCAAGTAGCGTAGCAGCCACTTGACT